TTGTTTAATTTGATTATATATATTTTTTTTGTTCATTAGTTGAATGGTGTACAAATGAAAATTTTGATGAAAATTCTTCACCTGATAGTATTGTACATAGTGATATTGTTAAAAACTGTTTTCTTCGTGAATATGTTATTCGAGATTTACCTATTGGACAAAAATGTTATGTACGTGTATCAGCTGGAAATATACGTGGATTTGGTCCACCAGCTATTGCTAATCCACCTTATTGTGTTCCATCAAGTGAGTTCAAATATCTTCAAAAAAAAAATTTTTTTTTTTTTTTAAATTTTGTTTAACATATTATTAAGAATTTTCTTTTGCTTTTTTTTATTTTATTAAAAATAAATAAAATAGGTTGGCGTGAATTTTCAAAAACATCACGTCCAAATGTATGTGATTTACGTTTTGAAGAAATTCTTAATAAAATACGACCAGAAAAAATTATTAATGAACGTGGAGCTATTGGCACAACGTTATCAAATTCTTATTATACAAATAATGGAACTCTTGATGGAAATGGTAAGTATTCAGTGACTAAATTCTAGATTTACATCGAATAGAATATATGAAATCCACATCAAAGCAAAGAAGATTATATTACTAATAATATTTAATAAGATTTCATACTGTTTTTTTCAAATAGTTTATAGCAATCAAAAGAATAATTTTTCTAATTATGTCACTATTTGTATATAAATACTTTGCATGATAGTTTCTCATTTTATTTTTTCGTCGTTGCATTTTGTTTTTTCGATCTATTATTTTTGACCTTTAATTGAGTACATTTAAGAATCTAAAGAAACAGAACATTTTACATTGTGTATTCTAAATATATTAATTAAAAAGAAGTACATCTTTAAAGTTATTTTAGAAGCTATATTTGTTTACAATATATCCCTTAATCCAATAGTTAATTAAGAAAAAGAAGAAAAAACATATATGAATCTCAATGGAATTTTTCCTTTTCTAAAAAAAACAAAACTTTAGAATCACCTGAAATGACAACACCTATAAATTCAATGAGAACTCGTCGTCGAAGTTATGGAAATCTTCGACGAAATCTTCGACAATTATTTCAACTTTATCCTCGTTTAGCTAAAACAATGAAACGGTAAAAATTTTTATATACAAAAAAAAAAATTAGAAAAAATTGTTTTTATTTTCTATTTTTTTCAGTGGTCTATATTTAGTATCAGTTATGTTAAATGGTGAAAAAATTTTAGTAACAAATGAAGATGTTCTACCAATGGTTGAAGTTGATGAAAATTATGGACATAATTTATTAGGAGATTTTCAATGGTTTATGAAATTAACATTTGTTTGGGATGATTTAAAAACATTAAGACCTGATTTAGAACGATGTTCAAGTGCAACAACATTTTATCTTCGAATGAAACTTGTTCAAGCTGCAATTGAACTTCAAGTAAGTTACAAAAAAAAATAATTTCTTTCTTTTTTTTTAAGACAAAAAGGAAAAAACAACAAGAAATATTTTATTATAGACATTAGAAGAAATAAATAATCTTGGTCGTCTTCATCATACATATATTCGTGATAATGATGGAAATATAGCATTTGTATTAATTAATGATTTATCATCAAATAATCCAACTGATACACGAACAAATATTTGTCCACCTAATTTAAAATGGGTATCAATGGCTAAATTTTTTGAAACAATCAAAGAAACAGAATCATTAACAAATAATACTTCGCTTCAACAAATCACCGATAAACTTCCGGTATGAAAATAATTTATTGAGAAATTTTTTTTTTTTTTATATAAAATAATTTTTATTTTAAAAAACAAACTTAAAGGATATGATTGATTTTTATCATGCATCAATGAGACGTCTTGATTCTGGTTTATATGTTGCTTATTTAAAAATGCAAAATAGTGTTGATTGTGTACGTGTTATGGTTAATAGATATATGCCCGGTTCATTACCATGTACAAGAATTCGTTCTGTAGCTAATGTATCAAGGTTCATAGCAATGATTTTCATTTATTTCTTTAAATTTTATTTCATTAATCTTTATAGAGAAGAATGGGAATGGTTACATAAAAATTCTGTTAATAATAATAATAATGTTAATAATAATAATAATAATAATAATAATGATAATGATGATGATGATGAAACAACAACAGAAAATCTATCTGATGAAACTGGTATTTCACTTTTTAAGATACAATTTCAAGAAGCTGCCAAAGATTTGTGTCTTATGCTCAGTAAGTTTATTTATTAAGAATAAAATTTTATTTTTAAGAATTAATATAAGTTTTAGAACGAATATTAATCACTAACGTTTGAATTAGAGTATTGAAAATCGTGGCTACGGATAGGGCAGAAAAGTTTTGAGTATGTACAAAATAAGTAGAATTATGGATACGAATGTTAAAAGTAACGGTTTTGTGAACACTCAAACTTCCTTTTTAACCATAGAATTTATAAATAATTTGAAAAAACATGTTTTATTGGTGTTGTTTAATAGCGATATTGTTCATAACTAATTGACTGATTGTTCTATTGAATTATCAGCGATGTTTTAGAGTTAATGTAAGCCACCGGTCAAATACCTATATCTTTACTGACATCTGCATACAGGTAGAGTAAAAGTAGGAAAAGTTCTATGCGTACAGTACTCTAATTTGAATTTGTTAATCTAAATAAAATCTGAATTGTTTTTATTTGAAGTACATATATTCAAAATATAATTCATGAAAACAAAACAAAAAAACAAAAAATAATTTTTTAGATCTTCCAGAAACTCATTTTTCAAATAGTCGTATATATGATGCTCAAGTAGTTGAGATTCGTGATGATCTTTCTTTAATAATATTAATGTCAACAGCTGATGAAGTAAATGTACTTTCAACTACATCAACATCAACTCAACGTCATTCATTTTCAAGTGATTGTTTAACACCATTTACATATTTACCTGTATATATATTTGAAGTTTGTAAGTTTTTATTTATAAAAATGAAAGAAAAAAAACGATCTTAATTTAATAATTTTAATTTCTATTTATTCGTAGTACAACATTTAAGTAATAATTATCGTTTTATATCTCAATATAGTCGTGTATCAATTTGTCTTGATTTTGAATTAATATGTGCTCAACAAACTCAACGTGAAGCATTTTCAATAAATGAATTAGATGAATCACGTTATCGTCTTAATCATTTATTATCATGTCAACAAGATTTAGATGATATATGGCGTTCATCACGTTGGCTTGTTGATGTAATTAATTGTGCAAAAGATAAATCTTATGCTGGTATATCACTTAAATCATGGTTAACATTTCAACCATCATCAAATATTCAATTAAAAATAATAACAACGGATTCTTCATCATCAAATTATGCATCTGATTCTGAATTACATACAGTTAAATTTTCAAATTCAACATTAGCTTTACCAATAACATCAACATCATTATCATCATCATTTTTAAATGATACATCAATAATTAATAATTATGATAGTGGTTTTATTGATCATGAAATAAATAATACTGATAGATATACAACATATCGTGCATCAACAATATCAACATCTGAAACAAATAATGATCCTATTGAATTAACATTTTACATTCCTATATTAACATCAAATACATTAATACCATTTAAATTACGTACAAATAAAACAATAACATCAAATGAATTATTAAAAATAGTTACAAAACAACAAAATATGTTATTAAAATCAATATCAACATTATCATCAACAACATCATTTGTATTTATTTGGATACGTTCAAATGGTCGAGAACAAATTATTGAAGATAATTTAACAGCTGGAGAAATTGAAAAACGTTTAATACGTCATGGTGGACAAATACATGTACGTTCAAAAGGTTTATCATTATCACGTTCTTCTCAACCACTTAATAGATTATCATCATCATCACGTTTATCACCACCAACACAAACAACATCTAATACAAATACTTCCAATAATAATAATTCAAATGTTCCTGGATCGAATTTAAGTTTGAATATTTAACAAAAAAAAAAAAAAACAGAAAGAAAGAAAATTATTATTATTTTTTTTTTTTTGTGTCTTTGTGTGTATTTCTTTCCTTTGATCCCCTATTTCGTTTTGTATTTAACTGAGAAATACATGTCATGTGATATGATCTTAATTCGTTAGAAAATATTTTATTGATACCAAAAGGACATTTTAGATTAATATTAATCATTTACGGCAATGCAAATATTAAATTATCAATAGAAGAAATGACTTCTAACAAATCTGTATAGTTTCATTCATTAATATAATTATCAATAAACAATAAAGAAAAAAAACGAATATTAAATTATAGCTATATATAGACATATATACGCACTTTTCTTTCTTTTTTGATAAAAGATAAATATTCTTCTAAATTTAGAAAAGAAAATTAGTTTGTTCTATTAAATAACAGGTATTTCGTATGAATGAAATCATTTTTTAAATTTTTATATAATTGATGTTAACTGGATTGGTATTTGAGATAATAATTTAGTAGTACATATATCTTTCGGATTAATTGTTTCTTAGTGTTGAAGATGTAAACGTACGACATAAGAGTTAAATATAAAAGTTACAATTATTATCTTTTGTGTTAATAAGAGCTGATTTTCTTCAAAAGATTTTTCATAATAGTATATTTCATTTATGAATCAGATCTTTGTATTTTTATAAATATTTATTTAATTTAATGTCTAACAGAGTTCGAAATGATTATTATTAAAGAAAAAATAATAATAAAACAGATTATTGATATACTCTTTCAGCTCTTTCCTATGCTTTTCTTTTTTTCGTTTTCGTTAGATTACAACTGAACTATGTACAACTGTTGTACTTTTTATTTATTATTAAATAGATAAAATTCCAAATAAATAAATTAAAAAATAAATTGGTGTTTTATTCGTTATGTCCAAATAAAGGAAAAAAAAACCTGTTATCGATCTAAATTCGAATAAAAATAAAAACTGATTATTGAATCTTATAAAGTCGTAATTTATCTTTTAAATTCATTCCAATCCATTCATTACCGATTAAACAAAGATTACAAAATCCATGTGGTTTATCAATATGTGTTTTTGCTTTAATTCGACCATTTTCATCAAGTAAAATAATTTGTTTAGGTATTGAACAATTATTAATAACAATCCATAAACGATTATAAGATATGAGTAGACAATTTCTCATTCCGGGTACACCATGGCCTAATGCACAACTTCGATGTATTCGTTTAAGATTAGTTGAATTAAATAAATCAACTCTCCATTCACCATTTCTTTGTTTTATTGTCATAGCAAGAATATTCCATTCATTAATACGTATACATTGTGCAAGAAAATCTTTTTGTTGAAGAAAATCTTTTTGTAACCATTGTTTTTCAAGCTGATGTGGTAGAAAAAGTGAACGACATTCTATACGAACTGAACGTGATGAATAAAGAAGATAAATTGAATTACTATCACTTGTTATCGATACAATCCATTCACCACGAGCTAATTCTATTTTGTCAATAGTCGATAATATACATGATCGAGGATTAAATGTATAAAGAGAATATCCAGCCATAAGAAACATATTTAATTTTGATGACCAACAAAGATCATGAACAAGAACTAATGCATCACTTATATCAATTCGACATAGTTCATAATCTTTATTAAATAAAACAAGTGTTGAACATTCATTTATTAATGTGAGAATATAATATGACGAAGCAGCTAAAGGTAAATCAATGCCATTTAATGAAAATTCTTTTGTTGGTGATTGTTGAAGAATAGTTGTTGGTAATGGTGCATGTAAAATTAATTTTCTAATTTCATTATATGAATCTGCAGATATTCCATTTCGTCTTCTAGGTAAAGATGGTGTATTTGAAAAATAATGATGACTATCAAGACGTTCAAATGATATTGATCGAATAGCAGATGTTAAACAACGAGGTAAAGATCGAAATTTAAATTGATTACGTTTAAAAACATCCATTCAAAATATTTTATATACAAAAGACAAAATGATTTTAACGAAAACACAAAATGAATATATATGTGTTCGAAAACAAAGATAAAAAAAAAATGCACATACCACATACAAACATATGTCCAATACAAAATAAATACGGAATATATTGGCATTAATTTGACTAGAATAAAAAACAATGTCTTCGATGGAACTTTCTTATCATGTTGAGAATTTTCCTTTATCATTGTTTATATTTTGATAAAAAAATAAAATTTTGTTTTTCATCGATTAGTAAGATATTTTTATGTACGTAATTTTATATTGTATGAGTGATGGACAATTATTTATACTTTGAATTTATATCAAATCTTAGAATCGTTTTATATTTTCCTTTGCATCCATTTTTAATAATATTTTCGCTATTTATTTTCTCTGTTCCATTTGATAAATATTATTGTTTGAGATCAGTTTTCTATTGTTTCTAAAAAAAAAAATTTACAATAGAATTTTGAACATTTCGTTTCTTTTTCTTTTTTGTTATTCATTGTACTTGAAAGTAATCTAAAACATACTAAATAATCTTTGTTTGAAAATCTAATGAATATTTGTAATCTTTCATGAAATCGATCTATAGACTTTAACTATTAGAAGAATTGTTACGTCGAATGTTATGAATGCCATATAACAGCATACTACGTCGTATTTATAGAGTATGCAATATAATTAAAGAAACCTATACATTACACTATCACGTTGCTTTGTTCCGTCGTGAAGCTATGTTCGAACAGTACAATATTTAAGAGTTTTCTTCGTCTTTTGAGAATCGTGTTCTTGTTTTTCTTTTCAAGAACATAGTTGAATCTATACAAATGAATTATTATTATTATTAGTCTTTTTTTGTATTTATTTTATTTGATATTAAGAAAATGAAATATTAATCATAATTTATGTTTATGACAGAAAGTATAAAATCTTTATATGTTGATTAGCAACTTTGATTCTTTCATCTGATTGTTAAAAAAAAAGCCTGTAAAAGCACTGTTGTGAGAAGATGATGTAGTGAATTAATGGTATTGAGATGACTTTTTTTTTGTTTCATCACACAACTTTGATGCATTACTTGAATTTAGTAATCTTAAACATATTTTTATTGACTTCTTACCCCATGTTTATGTAGTGATATTGTTCAGTAAAACTTGAACTTATTTTCAGTGAAATTTTTCGTAAACATAATGATTGTTTTGAGTGAATAATTTATTTTATACAATGTAAAAACTTTTGAGTCTCGATTGTACAAATGTTGATTATGTGAACAATATCTAAATTGTAAGAACTTTTAATCCTTTGACAACGATGTTTGATTCAATAAGTAGCTAATAGTATAATATGAAACAGAAACAACATATAATTCTTTGACTAAACATTCTAGAACTTTTATGGACTCTTCAAAAAAAAACACCTATTTCCAATATTAATTTTTATATAATATTTTTCAATAGAAATAAAATAGAAATCATACATTGTTTTTTTTTGTTTAATTTCTTCATCAATGTTCATGAGAAAATCTATCTTCTTTGATTGAAAGATTCATTAAAAAGAACTCGAATTTGCAATCTTTAGTAGCATATCCGATCAAATAATATGAACATAAAACATTCTCATTTTATAATAAAAATAATTCAAATTTTAATATATTTAATCACATATTTTTTTTTTAAATTAAAAAAGTTGTGTAAAAAAAAATATATAAATTAATGATAAAAATCTATTTAAATATGCACAAAAAGGAAAATTACAATTAATAAATCATATAGTCTATTCGTATTGCTTAATATTGTCATTGTCTAATAACATATAATAGTTTATATTTAACAAGTGCTTTATTTATTTCTTCATCCGATGGTTCTTTTAAACTTCGTCTAAAATATAAATAAATCTAAATTTATTTCATTATTAAATAATAAAAATATTTTTACTTAAATAAATGAAAAAGTGTTTTGACAAAATATGTATTTGCTAAACCATTTTCTCTTTGAGCAAATCCACTCTCTTCAAATCGAGCAACATTCAATGCAAATAACTTTACACAAAATAATAATAATAATAAATTTATCGAAAACGATTAATTAAATAAACATACTTCAACAATAAAACCAAGTACAAGTGCTAAAATATAAACATTCGATAAAAACCACCAACTAACAAGATATAATTGACTCCATCTAAATATAATTAATAGAAAAAAAAAAAAATTTTTTTTTTTTGTTTTTAATTGAAAATAAATTAAATCAACCTTGTAGAAAATTCTCTAAGAGCACTTAAAAATACTCCCCAATTATTAACTAACATAACATCATATAAAATAACCACAGTCGACTACACCAACAACAACAAAAAAAAATATGTTAAAATTTTTTGATTATTTCTTATTAATATTAAAAACTACTTACAAAAAAATCATCAAAATTATTTGCCCAATAATTACTTTGTTGATATGATCCACATGTTGCATTTCTAAAGAATTTCAAAATCCAAGAATTTTTTTTTCCCTAATTTATCTACTTACACTAAATCAGATTCTGTCGGTGCTTTAATAACTCCACGAAAGAGCCACATGCCTAATACAGCATATACATAAAACAAACACTATACACAAAAATAAAAAAAAAAGAAGAAATCAAACAAATATTTATTTATTTAGCTCTTTGATCTTTTTAATATCTCAAAATAAATAACATACAATAAGAATTCCAATAAATGCTTTTAAATTTCTCATTCCATCACTAATTGTTCCCATAATAATTCCATAATTAGTAAAATGTGGCATTGAACGTATTGTTCGAAAAACAACAAATAAATTGATAATACGTGTTATTGCCCAAATTGAACTTGCTGTTCCACTAGAATCTTTATCGATTTCACTATAATATATATATATATAAAACAATAATTTATTCTATAAAAAAAAATCGAATTGATTTACATATTTGTAATACTTAATGTTCCATACATTGACCAATGAACTATATGAAGAACCTATTTTATATTTAAATTATTGAAAATAATATATAGTTATTTTCTTTTTTCAAAATAAATATATTTACGAATAAAGAAAGAGCTAAAATAGCATCAAATGTATTGAATACATATTTAAAAAAGACTCTTGGACGAAGAGACCAAAGTTTAAGAATTGTTTCAAGAAAATAATAAATACAAAATGAAAATAAAATATTCTAAATAGAAAAACAAAAAACATAAATAAAAAGAATTATTCTAGATAAAAAATTTTACCGATAAAATAATATCAATTGTATGAAATTTTGGATGATATCGAAGTCCACCTTCAATCTAAATATATTTAAATTTTATTAAATATTATCTTTCTTATTTTATATATATACATACAACTAGAATAATAAAATTAATTAAACCCATTGCATTTCCAAACCATGTTAAATATTTTGAAGCACCAATAAGTTGTACTAATGCCCATATACCAGAATATTCATGATGTTCAACAGACTAAATATAAAAAATATCATTAATGAAATTCAAATGTTTAGTTTTTTTTTTCTTATTTTATTTACCCGTTTTGGATGATCAGCATCAAGTGATAACATAGCTGTTGAAAACATATCCCAAGTAACTTGACTATTTTGTTGATTATTTCGTGTTAATATCTATTAATGAAATTATTAATCAATTTCAATTGTTAAATAATAAAATCATACATCAAGTAATGCACGTTTATGAAGTTCAGGTAAATTTGTACCAGATATAACACGTGTTACTAATAACATAGAAACTGTTGATCGAGATCTAAAATAAAATTTTAAATTAAATAAGAAAGAAAAAAAAAAAACCAAAATTGTAGAAACAAACGATTGACGAGTAACAAGTGAAGTTGTTATATCATCTGTTGTTCGTGGTGATGGAATAACTTCACTTTCAAGTAATATATCAAAACAAACACGAACTGCTAAACGACGACGAAATAATGAATTTTGCATTGATGTCTAATTAATATTATATAAATTATAATTATTTTAAATAATATATGTATCTTACTGTAAAAAATTCTTTAAATGTATTCATTTTAATAACAGTAAATAATGTCATTAAACAATAAAGACCTTTAGAAGAAAATCAATATCATATTTTATATAGTAATATTTAAAATGTTCTTTTTTTGTGATGCTGATTGTCTAATTATGATGGAAAATTTCTTTAGAAAAAACATGAGAAGTTTAGTGATCTCTCATATTGTTGAAAATTGTGTACTCTTTCAGATGATACTGTTATACAAATGAATTTCTACAATGTCATCTCTCACTTGATCACTACTGGTGTACAGTTTTGCTTAGAAAACTTTCCTCTATAGTCTAACTATGAAGCAGAGATGTCCATTGCGCCGCTGCCACCGTGGCGGTGGCGGCGCGGCAGCGGCAGATTTTTTCCAAAAACTATCGCGGCGCGGGAGAGATTTTTATTTTGCCGTCGCGGCAGCGGCGCGGCGGCGGCAGCTTTTTAGGAAAAAATTTCAAAAATTCATGAATTTGCACAGAATCTGCATGCTTATGTATGCTATACTGTAAGACTTAGCGAATCTGATCGATTAGCGGCATCAGTTCTATTTCAAACCAGTCAAAGCCTTGAAAATCAAAACATTTTTTCGAATACCAGCGCGGCAGCGGCGCGGTAGCTTTTTTTAACAGGCCATCGCGTCGCGGGAGCGGCGCAGCAGCTTTGTTTGATTTTGGCCGCGGCGCGGCAGCGGCAGATTTTGAGCCGCGATGGACATCTCTGCTATGAAGTTTTAATATAAATCGTATCTGATAGAGAACTTTATTAACTATTGAAATCAATATTTTGGATTTGTGTTAGACACTCAGCATTGTAACAAAAAAATTCAAAAGTATCGTATTATTTTCACTTTGAACATTATTATATATTAAATTAAAATTTTACCAATAGTAAGAAAAATAGCAAAATAAATAATGTATAATCGATTTTTTGAATAAGCT